AGATTAATTTTCTGAGTTCATTCCACTGGGATTCAGGCCTGGTTTGGATATTGAAACAGTCTTGGTTGCTCTGTGGGATGACCTCTGTTAAGAGAGAGACAATCCATCTCTGTTAGATCTCCTTGATTTCTTAGTATATTTTAATACCATCAACCCCACCATCCTTCTGGAGCTTATTTATTCATTTATTCATTAGTTTACAGCTATTCTTTATATCTCATATATTGCATCTTACCTCTAAGGAGCTCAAAGCAGAATATATGATCTGCTGTCATGGTATCCCTACATCAAACCTGTGAAGTTAGCTAAGGAAGAGTGATAGAGCTAAGGCCACCCAGTGTCTGAGCAGGGATTGCAACCTGAGTCTTACTGGTCCTACTCCAGGATTCTAACCACTATGTCACACATAGTAGTGGACGGATCCTCTCATACTTGGATGGGCATTTCCAGAAGGTGAGGCTGAGGGATTTATGTGTGACATATTATTTATTTGATTTCTATCACATCTTTTTCCTGGCATAGCATCCATCTTCACTTAAAATCTTTGCTTTGGGTCCCACAGGATGTCATCTCATCTTCCATCATATCGACATGAAAATGCTCAGTCAGGTTATTGGAAGATGTGGATTGCATTATATTAAAAAAAATAACTTCCCTATAGTGGCATCCCCACACCTGGTGTCATGTGTGTGTGTGGGGGCTTCTGGGGGCAGTGCGCGCGGCCTCCCTCAGTGCCGTCCCATCCTTTTCCTTATGATGAAAAGAATGGCATGGCATAGGGGAGCACATGCAGATGGCATGGGGGAAAGGGAGTGCATGCAGCCTCCTTCAGTGCCACCCTGTCCTTCTCCTCATGAGGAAAAGGACAGAATGGGACAGCATAGAAGGGAGGACATGCTTCTGGGTGTCATCTGGTGCAGGCTGCACACCCTCAACTGACACCACTGCTTGCCTACCAAGGAAAAGTAGGGTGATCTCTTGTTTTCCTTCCATTGGCAGGCAAAAATAAAAAATTAAAATTAAAAAATCAAGCAGGTCTTTGGCAAGTGACCTCATTTGCTGAAGAAGCTTTTAATCCCAGTTTTTGGGGAAAGGCAGAATATTAATAAATATGAAGATGAGGATGTTTCAATTGGTACTGTACTATATATATATTTGAAATTGCCTATAGCATTGCAACTTTTTGTCTTTTTAGAATTAGCAACTGCTTTGATCTCTCTGCCCCCACCCCCTTTCCCCAGTACCTGGTCTGTTTTTATCTGTCCCTGTTTTTCCCCCCCCCCTTATCTTTCTGTAAATTGTCTTGGTGCTAGTCATTGGAAAAAATGAGATATAAGTCAATCAATCAATCAATCAATCAAATGTTATTATGCACAAGTCTATTTCTCTTTTTCTTTGGAGCAAAGTGTAGCTAAGGAATGTTAGGCCTCTGCCAGGTCATGTAGTAGAATAGATGAGGGCTAGCAAATGGAGGGAGACTTCATCCAGATAATACAGAAACAGGGAATGACTTCTACCTATCCTTGAAAGGTTTGCACTCCCCCTAAAAGCACCTGGTGCATAGCCAAGTGATACCCATGGAGACTATGGAGGTACACCACTATTGTAGGAGGCTCAAGGAACCTTTGTACGGAACATCTTTCACACAGATTTGGCTGATATTCCAGCTGTAATTCTGTCTGCAGTACTCCATGCTCTATTGAGCTTCCATTTGGATTAGTGCAACATGTTGCATGTGCGACTACCTTTGAAAAAGTTTCAGCTGGTACAAAACGTCAAAAAGAATTTTAAGTGGGATCAGATTTTATGAATATGCACAAAACCCTTTTTGTTTGACATGTTTCATGTATTAACAGTTTGGCATGTTCAATCAAGCTCCTAACTGCTAGGAAGACCAGTACTCTATTTGTCTGTTCAGCTACCTAGTAAATATGACACTTAACTGAAGTGCTAGTATGCTTCACATCTCTTTTACCACCCACCAGTCACACATTCACAATGATGCTGAAGGCACCCCACATTTTCAAGTGTGACCATGGCAGGAATGCCATGACAATGTCAGCAGACCCAGGCCATACATCATACTGCACATAATGCAGAAGTATATTTTGAACTGCTGTCTTCAGCTTACCAAATGTATTTTGAACATTGAAAGCAGCAATAGAGCCAGTACTTTAGCAGAAACTAAATGTTGCTATGTTTTATTATGATTGACATGTTCAATGTTAACTCATTTTCCCCAGCAGTGGCAGAAAAAATGCAACTATTTATCATGAAAAGCACCCTTTGAACACATCTTAGTCCCAGAACCGATTATATCCTCTGAGGAAAAGCCTTTGATTGTAAATCCATCAAAAAGTACTAGAGTCATTTGAAATTTTATTTTCTAGTACTGAACAGAATGTGGGTCAGCTTGAAGGCAAACATGACAACTTCTGCTGTGAACTTTGAGCTAATCAGAATGATGCCATTTTGAGAGCCTAAGGCAGATGGCATTCAGAAAGCATTGTTACATGAATGGCAATAGGAACCCTTGTGCTCCAGTTTAAAAATAAGCAACAGGGTGTGTGGGGGGGGGGATCCAAAATCCACAGTTGGGCAATATTGTGATCACAACAAATGAAGCCGCCCCAGGAAAAAGATCATTTGACTTAACGGCTGTTTTGTTTAAACTATGATAAAAGTGTGAGTGAAGATCTAAAATTATGGTTTACTCCTGACATGTTCTAACTCAGAGGTGGAAATTGTGCAGCTCTTCAGAGATGCTGGTAGTGTGAATCAGTAGCCCCAAGCCAGCATGCCCAGTGGTGAAACTGTAGTTGAAGGACCACGTAATTCCCACTCCTTTAAGGAAATATGGACTGCAAATTTGTCTGTATGTTTCATGTGATGCGTACAACTCAAGGTGCCTTTATGCATGTCTAATTCATTGTATGAACATGTAAAAGTATATCCATGGGTAGCTGTGTTGGCCCCATATAGAAAAGTACAATGTCATCCAAAATCAACAAAACAGTGATACCTTTATTGGGCCAATCAAAATGCACATTATACATGGTGAGAGCTTTCAATCAAACATTGATCAGAGCAGGGACTGCAGTCAAGAAATCATAAGAAGATTAAGAATGGGTAGGGCAGCTATGAAAGAACTAAAAAAGATCCTAAAATGTAAAGATATACAACTAAGCAGAAAAGTTAAGAATTGTACAAGACATTGTATTCCCTATTACCATGTATGGATGTGAGAGCTGGACAGTTAAGAAATAAGAAAGGAAGAAAATAATTCATTTGAGATGTGGTGCTGGAGAAGAGTGCTGAGGATCCCATGGACAGCCAAAAGGACAAACAAGTGGGTCCTAGAGCAGATCAAACCAGAAACCTCCCTGGAAGCCAAGATGACAAACCTGAGGCTGTCATACTTCGGACATATCATGAGAAGGGAGGACTCATTAGAAAAAAACCCCCAATAATGCTAGGAAAGGTGGAGGGAAGTAGAAAGAGAGGAAGGCTGCATGCTAGATGAATACACCCTATTAAGGAGGTCATAGGTATGAGTTTACAAGAACTAGCAGAGCAGCGGAGGACAGGGAGTTTTATGTCTCATCCACAGGGTCACCATGGGTTGATTTCAACTCGAGGACAGTTAACAACAACAACAACAACAAAGCTTTTGATATCCATTCGAAAGCTTGCAACATATATAATATGCATTTGGTTGGCCCAATACAAATATCACTGTTTTGTGGATTTTGGATGATAGTGTACATGCATAAGCAAGTCAGAGATATAGGCAACTGTGCACTTCAGCACCCATTCTGGTCCACTTTCTCATCTTCCCCATGAACGTCAGTGCACCATGTTGGCAGCTACGCACACAGGCAATCCGCTTTCTTCAGACGTTCAACCACTGTCATTATTGGATTGTTACCCTCTTGTTTGGTACACCCAGTGTTCCGAGAGGATGTACCCAGAGCCTTCCCAGTCTACAAGTGACTTGTTAGGTCTGCTGGAGTCTTCTCGGGTGTATGTGTAGGTGCCCTGCAATGTCTATTATTCTGTGTGCTATTGTCTCCAGTCACTTGGTCTAATGGTGCCCAAGTGCCACAAGTCCTCTTGTTGGCAAGACCCACTTCTTGGGTGAGTCCCCCCCCCCCATTTGTTTCCAGCTGATTTCTAGCTGTCAAATGCAGTCTAGTTGCCAGCACTGGTGTGTCGAGGTGGAGGAGAGCCCTGTGTTTTCCTTCTCCTCTTCCTCTCCGCCACAACAGGAGCCAGGCCAGGGTCCATCCGCTTTGCGGTTCACCTCAGGTGAACAGCTGCTGCTTCCTGCTCCGCTCCGCCCTTGGCCACGTTTTGTTCCAGGCAGCCTTGTTTTCCCTGCCTGAAAGGGCATTTAAATGTACATATATAGATCTCTTTGTTCTTGTTGTTAACTGCCTTCCCGTCGATCTCAGCCCATGGGGACCCTATGGATGAGACATCTCCAGCCCCCCCCCCCGCCCTCTACTGCTCTGCCCAGCTCCTGCAAACTCTTATCCGTGGTCTCTTTAATAAGTCCATTCATCTAGTATGTGGCTCTCTTCTCTTTCTACTTCCCTCCACCTTTCCTAACATTATTGTCTTTTCCAACGATTTATGCCTTCTCACTATGTGTCCAAAGTATGACAGTCTACTCTATAGTCTTGTCAATTGCGCGCCGACTGCCTTGGACTTGGATGGAAAGGGATGGCCCGGTTGGACCCCTTGGCCGGCTCCCCTCAGGAAGCAGAGACCCACAGGAGACATTTTGTTGACCTCTGCCTCCTGGTGTATGTATAC